TGAGTTGTGTTGTTGGCAAAGAATATTGACTGCAACGAGGACTGCTAGAAGAACCAACAAATCTGTCTTGGAGGAAATACAACAGGAATGCTCCCTAGAAGCGAGAATGGCCAGATTTCGTCTCTCCTATTTTGGTCATGTTGTCAGAAGGGACCAATCCCTGAAAAAGGATCTCATGCTTGGTAAAGTGAAGAAGGAGAAGAGCCTCAATGAGATGGATTGGCACAGTGACTGCAACGATGGGCTCAAGCATAGCAATGATTGTGAGGATGGTGCAGGACTGGGCAGGGTTTCATCCTGTTGTCCACGGGGTCACCATTAGTCAGAACCAACTTGATGGCACATAACCCAGCAACAATTTCAGTCTGAAATGTGCATTAAAAACTAGGAAAGCCGCTAATTGCAACAAGAGTCAAGGGACGAGGCAGATGGCTGGGACAATCAAAACAGTGGGCCTAGAGAGTGAGTAGGATTTCCCTAGATAGTTGGGAGGGGCTACACTCCAAGGGAGGGGTGCTAGGAGAAGGCCGGGGCCCCACTGCACAGGAAAGTGAAGAGACGGTCCTGGCTGCATTGGAGGTGATGCAGGGGAGTCCCAAACTGGAGAAATTCTACCCACCACCTCCCAGTCAGCCCACCTGCTCCTGAAGCTGAAAGCCTCCCACCTTCCCTGGGAGTGTGGGACAATGTCCTAGTTCAACACCACCAAGCTAAAACTGCTGTCCTGGTGTATTCCCTAAGCCTGCCATTGCCAAATACCACAAAGTGGGTCACTTAGGAGAACAGAAGTTTATTGTCTCCCAGGTCTGGAGGCTAGAAGTCCAAATCAGGGTGTTGGCCGTGTTGATTCCTTCTGAGGGCTCTGAGAGAGCAACAGTTCTTGCCCCTCTCCTAGCTTCTGGGGGCTCCAAGTAAAGCACCCTAGAGAGCACCGTGGGCTGTTTCCCTGTCTCTGTGTCTGTCCTCTTTTATGAGGCCATCACTCACATAGAATTGTTAATGCTGTTGTTGTGTAGTGTCCAGTCGGTTCCAACTCAAAGTGACCCCACAGGACAGAGGAGAAGTGACCATAGGATTTTCTAGGCTCTAATCTTTATGGAAGCAGATTACTAGGTCTTTTGTGCCATGGAGTCACTGGTGGACTTGGATCACCAACCTTTCAGTTAGCAGTTGAGCACTAAACCATTATGGCATCAGGGCTCCTTCATATAGGATCGGGACCTCCTTACCCCACTATGACCTCACGTTCACCTAACTGATGACATCGCCAAAGACTCCACTTCCAAGTAAGGTCACATTCCAAGGTCTTGCGGGTCAGGGTTTCAATATATCTTGGGAGGAGGGGCCCAATTCCATCCGTGAATCCAGTGTTTGCAGAAGAAACACAATCTTGACAGATAGGTTGAAGTCAGGCTTGTCGTAGAGTCTGCGAGAGCACCTCATTACCCGGCACCCCCAGGCACAGCACTGGCTGGTTGGCCAGGTCAGCCCTGTGCAGGATGCTTCTGGGCTAGGGTGGCACCTGGGCTCCTTGTGTGAGAGAAACACCACCTTCATTCCCACTGATGCTTTCTCGGCTCAGAATTGTTTGGGAACAGAACCCATTCATTACAACTCTGCTTGAAGCTGGGGTCCTCGGCTTCATACAGTGTCAGGATGTGGCAGCAACTCAGGCCCCTGGGTCAGCCGTGTGACCCACAAAGAGCAAAGGGACAACACCCAGCAGAGTGCCGGGGGCAGGCTGGAATGTCCAGGAGCCTGAGGAGCCGTGAGCCACGGAAGTCACTCCTTCCAGAACCCTCACCTCACCGTGAGCTGGCAATCTTTTTTTTTTTTTTTTTTAATTGTGATTTGGTGAAAGTTTACAGACTAAATTCATTTTCCATACAGTGGTTCATACACATTTTGTTTCATGGCATTGATTATAATCCCCACACTGTAAGAGCGCTCTTCCCACTTCCTCCCTGTGGTTACCTTTTCCCTGGGGTCTTTTTTTTTTTTTTTTTCTAATGGTTTAGTATTGCTCACATCTAGCAAGGATTGTGGAGCTGGCATGGGAGCAGGCGGTGTTTTGTTCTGCTGTGCATAGGGTCACTATGAGTCGGAAATGATTCAACAGCACCTAACAACAACAACATTGCTTTTACTCTGAATTGGTTAAGGGAAAGGAGGACAGACCATAATTTTGCAGTGTCTTGGGCCTCCAAAGATCTTAATTAGGCCCTAAGCTCAGATGTAGGCTGGGGTCCTGGGCAGCACAGCCATCGAAGAAGCTGTGGGAGGGGTCTGTATGCTTACTCTACCCCCAGGGGCCTCCCTGGTTCCTTCTTCCCCATGCACCCCTGCCCTCTGAGGTATCTCCCTGTGCAAATACTGCCCATCTGATCTCTCATGGTTGGTTCCTAAGGAGTGTACCTTCCGGGTGTAAATGTTCACCTTATACACCTGTCTACTGATTGACTGGGAGCCATGGGAGTCAGTTCAATTTCAGGCCTGGGTGATTAGGGACCATAGTCTCCTTGGGGTTTCGTTAATCTCTGTCAGACCAGTAAGCCTGGTCTTTTTTATGATTTTTTAGTTTTGTTGCACGTTTTCCCCCGACTCTATCCAGGATTTTCTGTACTGATCCCTTTCCCAGTGGTTGACAGTGGTTGACTAGATGGTAGCCAGGCACCATCTAGTTCTTCTGGTCTCAGGGTGATATAGGCTGAGGTTCACATGGCCCACTAGTTCCTTGGACTGTTTCCATGCATCTTTGGTTTTCTTCATTCTTCTTTGCTCTGGATGAGGAGAGACGAATTATTACATCTAGATGGCCGCCTGCAAACTA